CCGTTGTTGTTGTTAGAGGATGGGAGGTTACGCCGATAGTTACCCGATTTTCCAGGTGTTGTGTGTCTCAGTTCCCCTGGCTAGGAAAAGGGATTCCCTTCCCCCTTGCGCTTCCCAGGTGAGGCAATGCCTCGCCCTGCTTCAGCTCTCGCTGGTCGGGCTGCAGCAGCACATTATGTGCTTCATAGTAAATAGGAAAATTTACATTAAACTACTGAATGTACGTTTTTCAAAAAGGTCTGCTTTTTTAAAAAAACTACTTTGCTTATGTTTTAAATTTGATATTCATCATTTAATTCTGTTCATTGCAGGTTTATTTTAGGACAGTGGAACTTATAGAAGAGCCCATAAAAGGGTCTCCTGGTTTGAGTTTCTATTTCAAAATTAATGGATTTCCCATATTTCTGAAAGGCTCAAACTGGATCCCGGCAGATTCATTCCAGGACCGAGTAACCTCTGAGTTGTGAGTTACTGTCTTTCTTTTCTTGTTCCTCTTTAAAAGTCCCGCAAAGCTTGAGATTTACTCATTTTTACTTTCTTTAGTCCCTGGGTAAGGAACTAACAGGTAGTATAGAATTCTAGATGATGGAAACTTTAGAATGGATAGGATTTCAAAAATCATATATTCCATTCTCCTGGGCTACAGGTGGTCTTAGAGCTAAACTATTTGAGACTGTTGAAGCCATTCAATTTTAGAAAACTATTATATGTTTACTCTGGAGAAATAAGAAAATGACTAATTAGTATTTTGAATAGTTCCTGAAAAAAATATTAAATTCAACTATTTTCATCTTTTCAAATGATACCTTAAATGTTTCTGAGCATGGTTTTGAAAGATAAGAACACATATTTACCTTTCCTCTTTTTTTTTTTCTCTTCTTTTTTTTTGAGACAGAGTCTCACTTTGTTGTCCAGACTGGAGTGCAATGGCAGAATCTCAGCTCACTGCAACCTCCGCCTCCCAGGCTCAAGTGATTCTCCTGCCTCAGCCTCCCAAGTAGCTGGGATTACAGGCGCAGGCCACTACTGCCCAGCTAATTTTTGTATTTTTAGTAGAGACGGGGTTTCACTATGTGGGCCAGGCTGGTCTTGAACTCCTGAACTCAAATGATCCACCTGCCTCGGCCTCCCAAAGTGCTGGGATTATAGGTGTAAGCCACAGGGCCCAGTCCAATATTTACCTTTCTATGCTAAGGTATTTGCATATTCTTTTACCTTTATCTTAACAAAAGAACTAAAAAAAATCTTGTGTGTTATGGAGGTGCGGTTGTGGGACGGTGGGGAGGAAACTGGGAGCCAGCCTGTCAGAGGATACAATGTAGCAGATATGGTCAGAGGATACAATGTAGCAGATATACAGGTGAGCAAGCCCAGAGATCTGATGTACACTAGGAATATAGGTAAAAAAAAAAAAAAAAAAAAAAAAAAAAGTGCTCTTTATAGGATTCATGCTAAATGATTAGATTTTAGCTACTTTTGCCACAAAAGCAAAAAAGAGTGGCTAACTATGTAGGACAGCAGTCCCAAATATTTTTGGCACCAATAACCAGTTTCGTGGAAGACAATTTTTCCACAGATTGGGGGTAGGGGGTGGGGGGGTGGGGAGATAGTTTTGGAATGAAACTCTTCTACCTCAGATCATCAGGAATTAGATTCTCATAAAGAGCATGCAACCTGTATCCTTCGCATGCACAGTTCACAATAGGGTTCTTGCTTCTATGAGAATCTAATGCTGCCGCTGATCTGACAGGAGGTCAGGTAGTAATGCTTGCTCACCTGCTGCTTACCTCCTGCTGTGCTGCCTGATCCATGGTCCAGTCCGTGGCCTGGGGGTTGGGACCCCTATTATAGGATGGTAAGTACGTTAGTTTGTTTCACTATAGTAACCTTTTAACTATCTATCTATATATATCCCATAACATCATGTCATATACCTTAAATATGCACAATACAATTTATTTAAAAACAAAATATAATCTTAAAAGTTCTAGATCTAGGAAAAAAATTAAAAATGTTTTTCTGAGACTGAAGAAATAGAACTTTGGAAGAAAATAATATTTCCTAATTGGATCTGTAAATTTATATCTTTTTATTTATTTATTTATTTATTAATTATTATACTTTAAGTTCTCATAGGGTAGCATGGTGCCACAGGGATGTGTCAGGTTTGTACGCTATGTGTGCGTGTGCCAGTGCGGTTGCGTGCCGTAAACCAATTTAACTTGCATGTTTACCATTAGGGTATATCTGCCTTAATGCTAGCCCTCCTCCCTCCCCACACCCGCCACGGACAGGCCCCCACGTCAGTGTGTGATGTTCCTCTTCCTGTGTCCGCGTGTTCTCCATTGTTCAATTCCAACTAATGATGAAAACATGTAGTGGTTGGTTCTCTGATTTTGCAATGGCTTTGCTGAGATTCTGATGGTTCTCCAAGCTTCGATCCATGTCCTCACAAACAGACATGAAGTCATTTCTTTTTTGATGGCTGCATAATATTCCGATGGTGTATATGTGGCCATATTTTCTTATCCGTCTGTCATTGATGGACATTTGGGTTGGGTTCCAAGGTCTTCTTGCTATTGTGTAATAGTGCCGCAGATTAAAAAACGATACGTGTTTGCATGTGTCTTTACAGCAGGCCGCGTATGTACGGCCTATGATTATAATAATTCTCGTGGGTACGCCATAATTACCCCTCAGTAATGGGATGACTGGGTCCAAATGTGCTATTTCTAGTCTAGTTATCCATTGAGGAATTGCCCACCCAGGCTCCTTCCACAATAGTTGAACGCTGAACACTTGTTACAAGTCCACCAGACAGTGTAAAAGTGTTGCCTGATTTTTCACATCTCTCTCCAAGGCAAGCCTGTTCTGGTTTCTGACTTTTACTGATTGCCGATTCTAACGTGCGTGTGAGATGGTATCTCATCCGGCGGGTTTGTTTGCATTTCCTGATGACCTTCAGTAATGATGAGCATTTTTTTCATTGTCTCGTTGGCGTGCCCCATGAAAATGTGCTTCTTTTGAGTGGTCTGTTAGATTTATCCTCTGCCCACGTTTTGATGTGGGGCTGGGTGTTTTTTCTTGGTAAATTGGCTTGAGGTTCTTCTGTACGGTTTCTGGATATTTAGCCCTCTGTTCAGGATGAGCGATTGCATAAAACGTCTCTCCGCCAGTCTGTAGGTTGCCTCTTCATCTGATGGTAGGTTTTCTTTTGCATGTGCAGAGGCTCCTTTAGGTTTAATTAGATCCCGATTTGTCAATTTGGCTTTGTTGTGTCAGTTGCTTGTGGTGTTTTAGACATGAGAGGTCGCTTTGCCCCAATGCCTTGTGTGCGCCAGACGAATAGGGTACTTGCTTTAGGTTTTCTTCTTTAGGGTTTTTATGATTTGTAGGGGTCTGAAACAGTTTATATTCTTCCATCCGATCGTTGAATTTAATTTCGTGTTTGCTGTACGGGGTGTGTAAGGGCCGAAAAGGGGATCGCGAGGTTTCGAGCGTTTCTACATAATGGCTAGCCGATGTTTTCCAGCACTATTATTGAAGAATAGGTAATCGCTGTTCTCCCCATGTCTTGTTTTGTCCATGGTTTGTCAAAGAATCATATGGTGGCCTCTGTAGCCTGTGGTGGGGTGATTATTCTGCTGAGGACCTCTGTGTTCTCTTTCCAGACTTGGTGCGTGTAGCTATCTCTTGTTTGGTCCAGG